ATATGATCACTGTCACATCACAATATCATTTATCCTTATAAATATCAGTCATTTTATTAAGATAAACTTAAGTATGATATTATTTTATTCCAATCTTTTTGAATATAACAAATTATAAAATCAAACAACCCATCAATTATTTATGTCAAATTCTTATTGATTATCCAATAAATTGATGATGAAAATTGGTGAGAATGAGAATCTAAAGATAGCTCCCTTTCTTTTCTTTACAAAACTCATGACATAAACCTTGAAGTTGATTGGAAAATGACCCTTTTAGCCCAAATTAAACCACACATCATGTCCTTGTCTTTTTTTTTTATTAACCTGGATATCCAACCCGTTATGCGAGCCGACTAATCCCAAGACGACCACTTGTTTTGCAGATAGCTCGGAGTCACCGCATTCGAACCTCCGTGGCCACAAGAGAATTTTTATTCCTCTTTGGATTTGAACCTGGGACCTCCTGGTACTTTTGATATTTGGAGTCAAGCTCAAATCAATCAAGCACCACCCTTGTGGTTATTAAAGAGACCTTTGAAGGTTAGTTGTGGAAATTAAGAACAAATATTTTGATGGATGGATTAAAGTTGGGTTAGTTTTATTAGAATGTACAATTTTTTTTTGCTTGTGATATAACTCGTATTGTTATAAATCATGACATTATCGTTCACAAAAACGCATATCATATCATATTTCATGTCGAATTGAAAGGTACAACTTCTGATGCACAATTTATATGTTAGTATAACATAATTTGGTAACCTGTCTTATTATGTCAGTACTGACAAAATGAAAAGACTATTAATTAAAGAAAGAAATGTCATCATCATGGTTAATTTAAAAAATGGAGTCCAAAAAACTCAACATACTCTCACAATTTGACACAAGTAAGTGTTTGGTAAACGGTCCCTAAGTTCTAAAACTTTTTTTTGGACAAATAAACTCTTTAACTTACTGAAATCGGACAGTTAAATCATCGAACTTACTAAAAGCGAAAATAACATAACGAACTTTTATATTTTGAGCGATGAAATCCCTGAACATTTTTTTGAACGAATAAATCTTTACACTTATAAACAAAATAAATATACCATTTCTTTTGTCATGTATCAACCAATTAGTACAAAAATACAACGAACCGAAAAAACGAAAAAAAATACACCATTTGTATTAACCATTATTTATTTTTCAGATTCATATGACAATCACATGTGATTATCACTTGAATTGGAAAAATAAATAACTATTAGCTTCTATTATGATTCTCAGTTGAATTTAAAAGATAAATCGTAGACAACAAAAATTGTATTTAATCGTTTTTCTTTGTATTGGTTTATTGTACCTTGTTACTGATCTATTAATACATCGATAGAAAAATGATATATTATCTGTTCAATAAATGTAAGGATTTATCACTCGAAAAATACCTAAAGACTTAATCGTTTATAATATAAAAGTTCATCGGTTTTATTCAGTTTTAATACGTTTAAGGATTTAATTGAATGATTTCAATAAATTCAAGATTTTATTTATTTATTAATCATTCAAAAGAAAAAAAAACTGACACGCTTCCCAAAATTTTAGTAACTAGAAGTGTTCGAGTATGATTTAGGGGCCGTTTATCAAACGCTTATTCGGGTATGGGGCTTACCAAGTCATATTACCTTACCAAATCAACATTGCAAGGACCAAAAATCTTACCCAGTAAGAGCTAAGGTAAGGACTGAGAGTCTTACCCGATAAGTGACAGCGATGACTCTTAACACGGTTAGCACTTACCGGGTTACTTTTTGCATACGATACCATTTTGGTGAACTAATATCTTACCCGGTAATTATTTGATAGTTTTGAGTTTTGCCGGTAAGCACTTACCCAGGTAAGTATTGGTAAACGGTCCCTAAAGTATGGAATATTATAATTTTCAAGTCGAAAATATCACTCTTAGTTCTAAATCATGCTTAGAGTGTACGGTTTTTTTTGAAGCAGGAAGATGGTTTTCGATTGATTATATGTTTTATGCAGTAATTTGACGTATCAGTAGGAGTCAACGGTTATCTTATATTTGAATATGTTTATCAGTTAATTTTATGGTGATCAGACGTAGAACTTTAAGAAGTATGTATATATGTATGTAGTAAAAAGCTGTAAATACTAAGAAGTTTGTTGATCCTCTCTCTCAGTGATTTGATGATAATCCCTTTTTCCTTTCGATGTATTTCTGTATCTGTAATTTCAGTTCCAGCGATCATACACTGAGCTTGTTCA